GAAATGAGATGAATCAGCTATAATTGTTTTTAATGACCTGTACTGATGGTTCCTGGAAGTTGTTTCTTCCTTTCCTGGGTACTTGTGAAGCAGCCCATTAACCAACTTGGGACGAGGTTTCCCGTACTCATTCATTCAAGCATTATTGTGCCACACTCTAGGCCCTGTGCCAGGCATGGGAGAGTCAGTGGCGAACGGGACAGATAAGAGATTTGCTCTCATGAAGCTTACAGTCTCACAGAGAAGGCAGACATCAAGGCAAGTGAACAAACAGCATCACGATAGAATTAAAATCATGAAAGTACTTAGAAAGAAGCACGATAGAAGAGCTGAGAAAAACGGGGCATCCACTTTCAACAGGTGGTGGTAGAGGCCTGCTAGAGTTGCTCACCCTGCCTTCTGAGAGCTGATTCTGTGCCTCTCTTCCCAACCCTTTCTAGAGTGACATCATGACAGGAACTGAAATCAGCCATCTTGGAAGTATTTACACCACTGACGTTAGCAAACGCTACAAATCAGGGCTTTTCCCCTCTCCTGGAGCCTGTTGTTAAACATTGAACAGCACAGCTCTTGGAGGAGAACTCTTTTCTGAGAAGAGGGGCACTGAAGCAGAAACCCGAGAGACAGGGAGAGGCCAGCGTGCCAAGAGTGGAGGGAAGAGTGTTTACCCAGAATCTGCCAGTACAGATTCCCTGAGGTAGGAAAAACTTCCTGCCTGTCCCATGTAAGTGAAACCTGGCATGGTTTTTGGAATCCCTGAGCCTTCTACATTCCCACTGATTTTAACCACTTTGTCCAGTACCATTTCCTTCTTAATCTCTGCCCCCTTAGCCAAGCCCACAAAATCATCTGCCTGTGGCCAATGTATTGGGGAACTCCAGGCTGCACAGTGCTAGGGTTTTAAGTGATCAGTGGTAACTTAGAGTGGGAGACGAGTCTTGGTATGCTTTCGATTACCCAAGTGTTTGTCCAGCCAGTGCCCAGGGAAGGAGAAATGCCAAGCAGGATTGCTAGCCAGGGAAGGACTCTGGCCAAAGCTGAGAGCTCCAGCTGAGCAGACAGGGCCCTCAGCCCTCAAGAGAGCCAGAGCTTGCTAGGACATGAAGCTAGGCAGATATTGCACTAGGTACAAGGCAGAAGCTCAAGTCCCATGTTCTTGGGTGAATAGAGGATTTAGGAAGAGAAAGGGGAACCATATTTAAATTTCTACTATATTGAGTATACATAGTGCCCAGGGCTCATTTATGCCACTCAAGCTACAGGGTCTGTCTTCTGCAGGATACAGTCCAAGTACCACCAGATATGGAGGGTAAAGATGTTTATGTTCTCTTTCTCCCATCACTAGTGGCTCAAGAACGGGGCTGGGTCTGACCTTGTAACAGAGGTTTATCCATGTACCTGGACCCTGGAGAAGACAAAGATGGGAAACCCAGGCAGGGCTGACAACAGGGAGGTTGATGGGTTTTACCTCTGTGATGACTCTGCCTCTCCTCACCCTACCAAGCAACCTGTCCAACTTCCAGAGGAAGAATGGGCTGTCCTCGGGCTTTTCTGATTTCTTTTCTCCCGCCATCCCAGGCACTTGCTTGGTGTCCACAGCAATCTCATGATGTAGGTGAGTTGGATATTGCGACCATCTGCAGATGAAGGAAAGAAATCTCAGGGAGGTTGGTGACCTGTACGCAACAGGCCTAGGTTTTGGCTCCACCTTTTGCCTCTCTAAACTCCAGTTCTCTCATCCGGCACATGGAACAATGAAACCAACCACACAGGTTCCTGTGAGAATTATTGAGATAACACGTGCAATCATTCTTCAAGTTGCTATTCAGATGCTAGTAATTTTTTACCATCAGGATTGGAACTAGTTCAAAGATCTTTTGTCTCTGAATCCAAAATCCTTTTTTCAAAATTACTTGTTCATCCATTCATTTATTCATTCAGTAATGATCTTGGAATATTTGTGAGGAGTCAAGTGCTCTACTAGAGCCTGGAAATAGGAAGCTAAAATAGACAACTAAGAGGAGGAGACCTCAGGCTCGAGGGGAGTCAGGCCCCAGAAGGTGTGTGGCAGGTGGTGTGGTTATCGCTAAAATAGGTGTGTGAGCAGGGTGGAAAGGGTGGCAAGTGACTGTGCCGAGGAGGGTGGTGGCATCAGAGAAGTTCCGCTACCTTATGCTAGGCTCCCAGTCCTCGCACTTTTGACCCTCATGCCCACTCTTTCATGGGACACGATCCTCTCTGGGAAAGGGTGAGGACTCAATAATGGGGAGACCACTCATATCCTGCGGGCCCTGCTGACTCTGTTGAACACAGTGGAGACTCAAATAAGATCAGGCTGGCCTGATTGGTTTAAGAAAAAAAACTGTCAAACAAATGACCATGAATCAGAATGACTAAATTTATGTGATAACCACTCAAGCCAAAAATAAAAAAATCCCACTAAAAACAACCCCCACCCCCAAAATCTGAATGTCAAATTTGCAAACATGAAGTTACAGGGAGAAAATCTCCCAATTTGGAGTTTATCGCTTCCTGTTGTGCATTTAGTTATGATTAATCATTCTAAAATCTACGAGCAAGAGTCCTGTCATTGCTAGTTGAAAAAACCTTCCATCATCCTTATGGAATAAAAATATAGCTCTAGAGAGTGACTTCAATACAACCTTGAGTTGACACAGTTTTTGAAATGTGGGGTCCAGATTGAGCATGGGGCTCTGCAGCCCATGGCTGCTCGGAGCCTTGCTGTCAGTGGCTAAGATCCCCTTGCCGTGGAGCAGGGATGCCTGTGGCTATGCACGCCCACATACTCTCTTGAGCCAACACAATGCTGTACATTGGCCAATAGCCCCTAATTAAATGCCATATACTCCACTACAAGTGGTAGCATTTTGCAGATTGGGAAATTGAATCTCGTAGTTGAAGTAATTGTTGGTAGTGACAATAGAAAGCAGGAAGGATACCCCTCGATGACTCAGGCAATTGCATTTGGGTCCATAGAAACATGTAGCCTCCTTTAAAAAAATCAGACCTGAGGAGTTGGTGCAAACTAGGGTCAAACTGGATATTGAAGGCACTGTTTCTTTATTGATCTCAGTTATTCTCACCAATCATACTTGAGGAATACCTTACACATACTCAATACATATTTGAAAATCAAAGCATATTGGCGCTGCAAAGGATCTTAGGGATTTTCAGCTTAGAGAAACTCCCCCCACTGCCTTTTTTTTCCAATGAGGAAATTGAGGTCCCCCAAAAGAGAAACTATTTAAACAAGGTTAGTTGTCAGCTGGTACACGAGCATAAATTGTCTGCCTCCAGGACCCCAGCATAAGATTGTGCAGGTTGGGCACTACATAAAAGCAATGTGTAAGTGGATGAATGGGGTCCAAACTTTAGTTCACAACTGGGCTGGAGGGAAGTGTATCTTTTTTCCTTCGCAAAAGGAACATCTACTCACCAAGCCAAGTGGGAGCCATGGCTGCTCTGAGAAAAGTTTATATGCAGAAGGGTGATGTTAAGTGAGCAGAGGTCCAGACCATTGAGCGTTTTATAGGGTTAATTGATTCCTTCTGCCTTATTATAAACAGAAAGTGTGCAATTTTTGCTGTTCTGTGATCTACTGTATCTCTATATGTCAGTATCTCTCTCTCTCTTCTAGCTTCCTATCATCTTTTGGACCCATGTTGATCAGGGGATAGCAGCAAATAGATACAAGGGCTGGTACAGAGAATAGGGAGAGCATTCACTCACTCTGGGGGGGGGGCACTCATTCTGAAATTCAGATTCGGAGCAAATGTTTTTTTGTTTTTGTTTTTGTTTTTTACTCCTGGGTACAGGCCATTTTTCAGTTTTCCCAGCAAAGCTTAGCTGTTGTTTGATTTTTCAGAAGATGATACAGAAAGAGAGTTTCAGAGCATGAATATGTGTAACCTTTCAGAGGAACTGTTCAGATGGAACCAGCCAACCAATAAATCACCCTGTCAATTTCACAGCCGCATCTAAGAGAGCTTTTGCTCTGATCTTTGCAACAAATACAAAAAGAGACTCCAAAATTAGGTGTACATGTATGTCAAATGATCGAAAACCCAACTAAGAAGTTTCTCCTGCCACAGAAGGACCAGAAGGTCTTGAAAATGACTCATGAGCAGAGACCATGTAGAGCTGGGGCTTTATCCTCACCCTTTCCCCTTCACCTTTCTGTGGGCTGGCCAACAGTGGGGGAAATGCCAGGTGCCGTTTACCTTCTGCTGAGCTCCGGCTATGAGCCAGACACCTTACATACATTATTTTATTTCATCAGTACAACCACGTGCTAAGTAGGTGTCACTTTCCTGGGTGTTCTTTGAAGAATTGGAGTTTGGTTTGATCAAGTAACTTGTGGAAAGTCATACAGCTAAATAATGAGAAGATCCAGCACTTAAACCCAGGTTTCTCTGACTGCAGAGCCCATGCTCTTGTCAAAACATCAAGTCACCTTCCTCATGAACCCACTGGGGGACGAGCCCTCACTGTGAACAGATGTAAGAATAGTAGAGGAATCAACTTGCACCGCTTCTTTGGGTTTGAATAATCATGGGCGCCTAAAATGGGGGATGGGGGCCATGAGAAGAGTGTTAGAGTCATGGCACATCAGACCTGGGCTCTATTTTCATGGCCCCCATGTGACTGCTCTAAGCTTTGATTTCCTTAGTTGTAAATAAGAATAACAATAAAGTGTATACTTCATAGAATTGTTTGGAAGATTACATGATATGGTGCATGTCATGGGCTTAGCACAGTCTAGAATATAGTAACTGCTCAATACATTTAGGGAGAAAACATGAAAGTAGCTTTCAGTTCTCTTCACATGGTGAAGAGCATGGTGAAGAGTAAGGTTTGTCTCATCCTAAAAGTAGAATCAGAACAGGGCTAAAACTTGTAGGTCTGGCCTTGATGTGGGGTGCTCACAGTTCCCAGTTAGGATCCTTGCAAAGTATGGTCTTGGGGTTCTTATTTTCCAGTCATTACCATATTTAAGGGTAAAGTGGAAGAGGTGGAGCTGCCTGTGGAGAAGGTAGACATCATTATCAGCGAGTGGATGGGCTACTGTCTCTTCTATGAGTCAATGCTCAACACAGTCATCTTTGCCAGGGACAAGTGGCTGGTAAGTGTCCTGCATGCTGTCCCCTCATTGGTCTGCTGGCTGTCTTGCTGCTCTACTCCTGGCCTATAACCTAGGAAGAAAATGAAGACTTAGGATAGAAGGTCACCTCTTCTAGGTCCCCTTGTTAAACCAAACTCGCTTTAAGGGACATGAATGATCATCCCTGGGTCCAACATGTCTGTCATACATTCTTCTGTAGGTCTGACCTTGCTTTTTTTCACTGTAGTTGATACCTATATTATGTGGCCAAGACAAAAGTCTATTCTGATCAATAAGTGCTTAGGATTGCATGGCTGCCAGAGAGCCGAGTGTGCTTCTGATCTCGGTTTCTCCAGGCTAAGAGGTCATACCATCTTCCACTCTTCCTCATTGGACTTATCTTCCCCCAACCTCATTTGCTCTGTTGATTCCACATGGGTCCCTCAATTTCTCCTTGCTCCAAAATATAAACTAAGCACTGCCATCTAAGCCCTAACCCTGGCCAATGTGACAGTCTCCTGAATGAGAAATGCTGGCAAGGGGATGCTTGTCTGGTGACTCTATGTGCAGTTCAAAATGTGATGTCTTTGTCAGGTGAATAGATTACAAGACCCAATTTCCCCACAATTCATCAACAGAAACCTGGAGGGCTTATGTTTCCAGACCGGGCAGCTTTGTACGTGGTAGCAATTGAAGACAGACAGTACAAGGACTTCAAAATCCATTGTAAGTCACCTTTTTGTTCTGGTTTTTTTTTTTGTTTTGTTTTGTTTTTTGATTTATTTGTTTGGTTGGTTGGGATGGGTTCTTTTGCACATTTGGGGTTGGAGGCACTTTAGTGGGCCTGAGATGATCAGTCTTACGAATATACTGCTATGTCTGTGGAGTTCACCTCTGACCTTTTATGAATTTTCTCTGTAAATGTTTTCCTCTAGTCCCAAGGGTAGGGGATCTACAGAGAGAGAATAAGCAACATGGCTGGTATAAGATAAATGTCCTGGGGTGAGAGAATGAATGCAGTGAGAATGGAAAATGAGTAGAAGCAGGAGAAGCTGAGCTTTTGCAAAGAATAGCATGCCAGGTGGCTGGAAATCAGCAGGGTTGGTTATCCTGAAAGCCCACTACAGGGGACAGAAATGGCAGGTGTCTAGCCAAGCCAGTCATTCTGATTCTTGCCTTCATACCACTCGAACTTATCAAAATGATATCTATTCTCTTCACATTAAGTAAAATATGTATTCTTCTCCGAGGTTCTTTTGGGGAACTGATGGCATTGGGGGTGAGGAGAGATGGAGATTTTGTATGCACACACGTGTGTGTGTGTGTGTCTCTGTGTGTACTCATATCCAAATCTATATTTACAATGCTTTATCAGCTCAAAATTTGTCATCTTACAAAAAAAAAAAAAGCCAAAAATAAAACCACACCTCTTCATCATTTTATCTGGTCCAAAAAGGGCTGTTTTGTTCTACTTAATTAAGGGTGACATTTCTCAATGACACAAGTCTGGTCCTCAGTGAGATTATACCAGACCTTTCTAACCTTTTGTAAGGTTAGAAATGGCCACATCTCTGCAACCAGAACTAAACATGATAAAGGAGCAAAGAACCCCTCACATATGCAAAGTGTACATAATCCGGCCCAAAGCACGAGGCAGAAACTCCAAAAGTCGAATGGACTCAGCAGATCTGGGGGTCCTGCCGCTCTAGTGGTTAAGCTCTATTTGGCAACATGACTGTGAAGGGGTCACAGACTGAGCAGATGGGTAAATATCTCCTGCCCTGAGAGGCTGAGATTCAATATTTTGGCAAATTGATGCACACAATTGCCAGCTAATAGTTGTTGCTGCTGCTGCTGAGATCTTGGCTGAACTGTGCTATGGAATGTGTACTTTTGTGTGTGTTCACACCCTTCTGGAAATAGAACATCAAAGCATGAAGTTCAGAGCCAAGTTCAGGAGAAGACAGAAATGAGACAGTTGTTTGAAATTCTGTGCCCTTTGCCTCCACCCAATCTGGTATCATTTCTAACATTTGGTAAGGATTGAGAAGTACAGTGGCCTAAGTTAGATGATTATGTTTTGAAGTCTGCCAATCCTGGGTTCAAATCTAACCTGGGTCACTGTGAGCAAATTATCTAACATCTCTGAGCCTCTGTTAGAGATAATATTGCCAATCCTATAGACCTGTCATGAGGATTAAGTGAGATGATGTATATCAGAGGACATAACAGTTCTTGGTGCTATATGGCACAGAATGCTCTATTCTCTGAATATGTCACTAAGTCCCCTTCTGCTCGCGACTCTGGCAAGCGATGCTGACTGCCAAGCTTGCTGGCCTCCAGTGGCTCAGAATCTAGGACAGATGTACTCTCACGGTAGTTTGCAGAAACAACTCAACAGTGAACATTGATCAAATGTATGTATAAATAGGACACATTTTGCCCTGGAGCTGCATCATAATGCTGCTTTTGGAGTTCTTGGTGTGTAACTGTGCTGAATAGTGTTTTTCTTTTTTTTTGTTGTTCGTTTTTTGTTTTTTTTTGGAGATACACACACACACACACACACACACACACACACACATTTGAATAGCGTTTTGAGGAGAACCTTCAGGCGTATTCTTCATTCTCACATGCACTTAAATATTTATTGAGCTCCGACCCCGGGCACAGCTCTTTAAGAAACTTCCTCGTGGTTTAAAAGCAAACATACCTTACCCTCCTTCCTTCCCTGTATTGTGTTCAGAAACCTCTGTGCACCTTGTAATGAGCCAACTGGGGCCAGAAAAGAAGTCAGTGGACCCTGAGAGGCATTAGGGGTAGTACTGCTACTCAGATGCTAGCCCAGGACAGATGTGATTCAGTCCTGCGCTGCTCGTTATGAGTTTCATAGCTCTAGTGAAAGGAAAAAAAAATGAAAGTCAGCCCCATTTTTCTTGTGGAATGCTTGCTCTGGAATATCTGTCCACAAAAACAAAACAAAACAAAACAAAACAAAACAAAACCAGAAACAAAAATTAAACACACATTTAAAATGTATTTAAAATACTGTTAAGTTTTCTATTTAAATGTTTTTTAAGTGATCTGTTTTTGTTTTCTGTAAAGGAAGCAAGCCCATTTAGAAATCTTTTTCAGATAAATGAAGATTTTGGTTACTATGAGTTCTAAATCATAAGCAAAGCACAAAGGCTGCTGGTTGCTAAGGGGAAAACTGTAAGCAAGTTTCAGTTGACTCAAGAACCCACTGAAAAAGAAAAATCTTCAAGAGGGCAGGAGAGTGAGACATGCCTAGTCTCTTTCAGAAAATAAACTGTTAGGGAAACAGCTTCCTTTTCTCTCCTCTCCTCTCCCCTCCCTAACTTTCCTTTCTCTCCTCTCCCTTCCTTTCTCGACCACATACAACATGGGAACACAAGAATGAGTGAAATATAGAATCTGCTCTCAGTTTGCTCACCAACTACTAGAGAACATAGAAAATGAGACAAATGACTGGCATGTGCTAGGCTCACAGTACATATTTTGTTGAGTTATCGAATAAGTCTATGAATGAAGGAATAAAAGTAAACCAGCAGAGGACTGTGCAAGGGGTAGTGTTTACCCCCGAGAGAGGAGCAATACTTTAAAAAAATTTCCGCTACGAAAGAGATTTATAGAATCTCAAAATTAGAAGGAAACTTGATGAGTATTCTGTTTGATTTCTTACCCAATACATGAATCTCACCCAATACATGAATCTACAAACTGCAGAGAATCAGAAGGATGGACCCAAGCTTCCTGGCTTATGAGAAGATGAAAAGAAAGTACCTCTGTTGACCCAGTGGTGCCTGTAACTAGAATTTCGGAGGGCAGGACCTATTGGAGGGCTCAGTAGCTGTCCATGGGTTTCTCCTCCACCTGTACCCCCAACATGCAGAGCTCTAGTCTATGGCTCTGGCCTATTTTATACAACGAGTGGACTTTTTTCCTGGGAGCCTAAAATATATAAAACCATTATAGAGACATTTCCTTCTGTCTAGAGGACAAACTATAAATGATACTTGGTGGCACTTGTTCTCTTCTTCTCTGAGGCAGTCTCATTAGCAGAGAAACTCAAGTTGCTGGGGTCAGGAAGGGAAGAGAGGATGTAGTTACAGCTCTCGCCAATGAGATGTATAATTTGTTCTCCAGTACTTCATATTTCTTTTTCTCCAGCTGCTTTTGAGATTTTCTCTTTATTTTGATATGTGTCCATTTGACTCTGGTGTGTCTAGGTGTGTTTTTCTTTGTTTCTACGGGGTTCTATGAAATTTTTGGATCTGTGGACTGATGGTTTTATTAATTTAGGAAAATTTTCAGCCCTTATCTCTATAATTTTGTTTTCTGCCTGATTCTCTTTCTCTTCTTTAGGGACTCCATTTACAGATATATTAGATGTTGTTTGATACTGTCACATTAATCTTGGATGCTCTTTTTTTTTTTTTCCCTCATTTTCCTCCTTATGTTTAAGTTTGGATAACTTTTATTGATCTGTTTTCAAGTTTTTTATTATTTCTTCTGATGGGTGTATCCATTCTGCTAAAAAGCTCATTGTCTCTGATATTGTGATTTTTATTTTTAGCATTTCCTTTGGCTCTATTTTATAGTTTCCATTTCACCAATGAAATCTTGCATCTCCCATGCATGTTTTCCCATTAGATTTTAAAACATGTTTCGTCTAGGTACTTTAAAATCTCTGTTAGATAATTCCAATATCTGAGCTATCTCTGAGTCTGATTCTATTGACTTTCTTTTTGGTGATGGGTCGTAATTTTTCTTTTTCATGTGCCTTGTAATTTTTTATTAATGCTGGAAATTGTCAGAATAATAGAGACAGGTGAGTAATATTTATGCCCAGAAAAGAATATCTTTTCCTCTGCCAGGCTATTAAAGCAGGGATTTGAGATCATCTAGTCTGTACTGATGGTAGGTCTGGGCTTTGTTGTTGCTTTAGTTACATTCATTGTACCATAGTACAGTTCTTCTAAAGAGTTTGTTTTAATCCATAAATAAAAATTCACAGATCCTTCTGATGTTATTTTTTAATCACCAGAAAATTTATAACAATATTTTCTGGTGGCTAATGGCCCTTACTCCACATTCACTTATCAATGGACAAGACAGAATTGCAACAAAAAATTAATCTGCTTGATTTGTGCTGTCTCCTATCCCTGTTCCACTTATTTTGAAGAAACTCATGTGAAGGGAATGGTCATCAGAAAGGAAAGGAAAATATCTGATGTCCTGGATGAGCTGTCTCCCGATGGTTGGGTAGTTTAGCTGGAGAGAGCAGAATTGAACTAACCCCTGAAAGTGTAACTAAAACATCTGACATTCTGAAGCATTATAGACATTAAATATTTGGGAATGGATTTCAGTTTTAAAAGCATTATCTGTGGTCCTGTATTGTGCTAGATGCTGTGCTATAGGTGCTGAGGATATAAGAGAGGGGTCCCATGGCTGAAAGTAGTTGGAAAAGGCTTCACAAAAACCATGAGATTTTAAGCTCATTGTCTGAAGACTGGAAGGAACTTTAAATATCACCTAACATAAAGGCTGCCATGCTCTGTTTGAAATTGCTTATATTAATTTGTGAAATTTCAACTTCTTGGGTCCCATGTCCAGAGATTCTGATTCAGTAGGTCTGGTTTAGAACCAGGTATCTGTATTTTTAAAGGTGTCCCAGATGATTCTGGAGCACAGAATTACTGAACCAAACTCCTCACTTTACAAACGAGCCCAGAGAAGGAGATTGATCTGTCCATGGTCACATAGCTCGAACGGTGGCAAAGCCAAAGCTCAAACCACATAATGATAAAAACCACTATGTGTCAACTGCTTTCTGTGTGCCAAGCACTGTCTTATGCACTTTACATACATTATCACATTTAATCTTCACAACAACTGTATTGAGTATCTGTAATTATCATCGTCTCCATTTTGAAGAAGAAGAAAGCAACTCTTTGAGGTTAAATTCTTGCGAAGATTACAGAGCCAGATTTGAATGCTAAAGCCCAGGCCTTTAACTATTACACACACAGACTGTCTCAAGTATTTGCCCAACACTTGCACTGAATCTTAACTTAAGGCATGGCCAAGAGAGAAAAAGAGCAGAAACATGGATGCAGGTCTCTTAAGAAAGGATTTTAAACAAAGGCAGCGTGTCTGAGGAGAGAATGAATAGCTGTTTCCAGACTCTAGAAGGGGGTCTTCTCTGAAGCATGTCCTGTCGCCAACCGAGCAGCTTCTTTCTCCAAATGTTGGTTTCAATTGGGAATTTGGCACCAGCCTTGGGCAATATAATGGGATATGACTGGCATCTTATCCTCAAGCCAGAATTTCATAAGCACTCACCCTCTGGGGGATGATTATTCTCTCTGCCTCTTCTCTCTGATGAAGGTCTTTGTGTACCTTAGAAAAGAGTGTGCGTCAAAGGAACACAGCCTTCACTGACCATTCTTTCTTGCCTCCTCACACACCCCCTCTTCCGAACATAAAGGGACATAGTTCCATTTGTTTGATGAACATTTTTAAAAGAAAATTTAATCCTGTAAGATATCAGAGAAAAGAATCTCTACTTCAATGCATTGCTAAGCCCGTCTGAGTAAACAGACAAATGAGATTTAGTAACTAAAGCCTCTGCTCAAGCTACCCTCTGCACTGTGCAGAGGAAGTTATATTCCTGGTTGCTACCACATCAAGTCCATGCAGCTGAAGGGTTAGGGGACAAGCTGGGTTTGAGCCCTAGTTCCACCATTTCCCTGATGTGTGACACTGGGCCAGATACTGCTTGTGAGCCAGATGCCAGCTTCTCCCAAACCCAGTTTTCTCATTTGTCATCTGGAAGTATCCTCATAGGGTTGCTGGGTGGCTGAAATGAAGAGTCTGGCCTGGGCTAGGTGCTCAATCAACGATAGCAATGATTGTCACCATTTAAGAGTGGTCTTGGGCCATTAGACTTGCATTCATTTACTCACCAATCCTGCAGCCTAAACCTTTCTCCCAACAAGCACTGCTGGGATGACTTGTGCCCCACTTGGGGGATAGTTCTTATGAAATGACCCCTTATGTGAGTGCATCATGTCATATGAGAAAGGTAGACTCTCATGGACAACCCCCTCATTTTGCAGTTGAGAAAATTGAGGTTCAGAGAGGGTAGGGAATTTGCACACAAGCCTGGCCAATAAGTGGAGGTGCTGAGATTCAAACTGTAGCCTATTTCGTTTTAAAAGCCAATGTTTCTCTCTGCTGCATTAAAGGTTCAGTGGGTGGGGATGGGGGAAGGGAGAGATATGGACCTCTTTTGTGTGCAGGATGTCTTGAGCAAAGGAACTAACGTAGAAATGTCAATGGCAGAGAAGAGATTTCTAGATACTCTGTTAGCTAAAAGAAGGGGACAGGAAAGTAGGTACAAAAAGTCAGGTAATTTAGGTTCCAGTCTTGGTCCTGTGGCATTCTAGCTGTGTGACCTTAGAGAAGTTTCTCGGCCTCTCTGAGCTTTAGTTTTCCTAACCATAAAGAAGAACCTATACAAATGGTTCTGTGAATGGACATTTGGCACATTGCGAAGCTCTCCAACCAGATGAGCAATTCTCTTTTGATGCAAGGGCACACGGGCTGCCCTTCATTCTTTTGGGCATGCTGTGCTCTAGTACTCAGGAGGGTTGGGGAGACTTCTGGGGGTCCTGCTGCTGGCCCTCATGTCTTGCTCTGTTCCCTCAGGGTGGGAGAATGTCTATGGCTTTGACATGACCTGCATCCGGGACGTTGCCATGAAGGAGCCCCTGGTGGACATCGTGGACCCAAAGCAAGTGGTGACCAATGCCTGTTTAATAAAGGTCTGCAGACTCATCCCGCTTGGGCTTGGGCATGCTGGGAACCCAGCTGTGCTACTCTGGAAAGCTGTGGGCCTGGAATAAAGGCATCGCCAGCTCCTGCATGGCCTCAGCCTGGTGAGGCAAGGTCACCTTGGCCAGAGCCTCTGGATCCGGAAGTGACCAGTCAAAACCAGGCGCTCTCACTAAGCAGAGCCAAAGAGAGAACGACTGGACTCCACGGTGGCACAGCTGAGAGAAGGGAGTCAGTGCATGTCCCTTGGTAGTGTTGGGGTGGGGGCAGTGTGGGGAGTGGGGTGTGAGAGGAGAGAACCCTGGAGGCAGGAGGGTCTGCTCAGATTTGGGAAAGCTACTCCATTCAGGGGTGGATGAGCCTCTTACGAAGGAAATCTGATACCTCAATCTGCTGTGTGATCGTCATTACTCTCCCATGTCCTAGCACACATGGGACCATCCAGACAGAGTGTTCTTCCTGAGTGTTCTTATTTGTACATGCTCTAACATCTTTTCTTCCAAAGCTTTCTTCTGTGCAAATGCCGAACACCTGGTCAGCATCTTTGGCACAGCAATCCTTAGTACATTCTCATTATTAGATATTCAATCTAGACAAATTTCATAGAGCAAAACTCGAGACTCCCCTTGACTCCCCTCCTTCTCAACTGCACACTCCACCTAGAGGAACCGCTGGTCACACATTGGATTGATCTTTCCAGTCCTTTTTCTCAGTCCTTGCATTTATGTATGTTAATATATTATGTCAAATCATACAAACTGCCGATATGTGATTGTAAAAATCTAGAAAGACATCAGTTTCACATGGTTCGAGCTGATTTTTTAATTTAAAAATCTGGTGTTATTATGTAAGTATTCAGCAGCCCACTCAGTTCTGATTTTACTAAAACATTCTTGCCTGCCCTGGCCCTGTACATACTCCTTCTTTGATGGATGTGTTGGGTGGAGGGCTGGATTGTTTACAGTGGCTGAAGGGGCAGGGTCCAGGCCACTGCGGTTGAGGGGAAGCTTCTGAAGGACTAATGCAAACCACTGCTTTGCCAGGGGAGAACAGTCCTTTGTCCCTGGACACGGTCTTCCTAAGAACCTTGGTCCATAGTGTCACTGCAACATTTATAAGGGAGCTCCAAGAGACACTGAAACTAGATGAGCCTCGCACAGCACTCATCAGATGCTGCCTCCCTTTGTAACATCCTGCCTGAGAGGTTTGGCTTTGAGTCTCAGCCTTGGACTCTCCTTGGACAGGGTCCTCACTATTTATTTAACTCGGCCCATTCCAACTCCGGGCAGGATTGATTGTGAGCAAATGTTTCTTCTTATTTCTTCCTACCTGCCTCTCTGTCCCCGAAGCCTCTGCCTTTGGGTGCCCCACATGAGAACCAGGAAAGTACACCCCCGAACAAGCTCACCCATAGTGCAAACATCTCTGTAAATATTGTGGAATAGGTAGAAATTGACTGGTGCAACTACATTTGCCACATGGTAGCTGCTGGTAATAGCTTCAGGTAATAGGTTCAGCTTAGGGATAAAATTCCTTCAATGTACTTGGGCCCCAGGTGACTTTCCCTCCTGCTCTGCTGGTGTGACACTGCACCTCTGTATATCTACTGCCGGTCACATGGTGGACTGGCCTGCTTCTATCTACTCAGGCCAGACTGGTCTCCTCCCTCTTTCCTGTCCCAGCCAGAAACCAGCAAGGGACTTCTCTTGTATTTGCCCCTTAGCCAGGGGCAAAGCAGGAGGACTCAGTGAAGAGGGAGCAGAGTTTTCACATACTCCTGAAAACCCCTCAGGGCTGTGAGGATGTGTTGGGACTGGAGCTCTATGCTGAAGTCTTGCCCCTTCCGCTCCCTGTACCCTCTCTTCCTCTGTCCTCTGAGAAGGCTGAAGACTGCGTTTGCTTCCACAACCAGGAGGCCCTCCATCGGCTCTCCCGCTAATGCACGAAGCAACGTCTTGCCGAGCCTGTTGGGAAAACACTTGCCCTTCTTCACACACTTAATTGCTATTTTCATGCTATTAACGTTGCAGAGTATGACACTTTATTATAATTAAGACTCTGTTTTGACCAGACTTCGGCTCTGAGACATCCATTTGTAACATTATTTAGTGGTGGGGATGGCAGCGGCCAGAGGCTCTTCTGAGTAATTGGTCCCTGCAGAGCCCTCCACTTTGTGGGGGTCACCGAGGGAGTCAGGAGGCCTCCCAGGGTCTCAGAGATGCTATTGCTGCTGCCAAAAGTAAGAATCCTTCCAGCAAAGGGGTCTGGGCTCTGGGAAGCCAGGATAACTGGGTTTGACTCTCTAGACTTTGGGTCTGAGAGGAGGGTGGAACTGAGTGCAGAGGGCCTCTGTGTCTCCACAGCTGATCCCACCCTCAGAGATGGCTCAGCCCCAACTCCAAAAGACCAACTGCCTCCATTGTTACCATTTTAATGTATAGCTTCATTACTTCTGTCTGGAAGGCTTTTTGTTCCTTCAGTGGCCCACATTAAGATGCAAATGTCTGTAGGACCAAGTGAACACTGTCAGCTAACATGGGATATTTGGTTGATGGACCTCTGAGAGAAAGACCCTATAGAGACAGAATTCCTGATAGATGGGTGTGTGTGTGTGTGTGTCTGCGCACTGATAGCAGTGAAGTGAGGGGAGTGACAAAAGGAGAAACGAGCCGGGTCCAGATGTGTCACAGAGCCTTCTTTTCTTTCTAGTTCTCCCTGTCTGTATTCAGGCCAAAAGGTTTGGATATTTTTAGGTAAGACAAGAGGAGTCATGGAAGGTTTTGGATCCAGGGAGCAGCACAGCCTGAAAGGATGTAAGAGATTAATCAGTTGGTACGAAGGAGAGGCCTGGATGAGGGAGGAAAGTTGTCAAGCAGGAGATCTGTTAGTAGAAGACTGATGAGTGTCAGGTGCTATGTCTCACAACGAGGGTGCACAAACCAATAAGGTGCAGCCTCTGCCCCTACAGGGCTCCAGTCCAAAAGCAGGGGCAAGGGTAGAGGTGGTGAGGCTGCTGAAATAGCCAGAAGCAGGGTGGAAAGACCAGGTTAGACTGGTAGCAGAGAGGACCAAGAGAGAAAGATACCACGAAGCTTGGAAAGAGCCTGGAGCCTGGCTAGCTCGCTCTGACTAGGAAGGAGATGGGAAAGTCAGTGAGTGTAGATGCTGTGAGCCTGGCGGGCTCTGCTGATGCCGTTAATAAGAACACTGTCAGGCACAGCTTGCTCTGAGAGTTGTTAAGCTGGAAGGAGCCTGCGGAAAGCATGCAGCCAGGAGGTATAACAAACATCACGGAGGCTAATGAGTACTGGTCTAAAAAGATTTCCTGGATTGGAGTAACGGCCCACATTAATAGGATGACATGCAATGGAGGACCCCCACACTCGAGTCCCGGGAAGAATGGAAAAAGGGTTATGAGAGGGATGCTGTGGAGGGAGGGAGGTTGGCAGGCTAAATGACAGGGGTCAACAGTGTGCTCCTTGAGGTCAGGGATTATAAGTATGTCCCAAGCAGGGAGGGTGAAAGAGTAAGAAATCATAACTTATGAGAAGCAAATGAAAAACCAGAGGCAATTTATGTTGAAGAAGAAAAGGTTTAGGGGACCCATGTGAGTTGGAACAGGCGCTCGGCTTATTCTGTGGGTGGAAGTTACAGAGACTGATGTGGGCTCTCCCTTGTCATGGGACCTACCAATTGGAGATGTCAGGAAATGGAATCAGCTGCCTGGTAAGTAGTGAATGCATCAGCCCTGAGGCAGGCAAGTAAGCACCTGATGGCCACTTTTGAGGAATGCTACGGAAGGGGCTATTGCATTAGTTACAAGGGGACTGGCTTTCTAGTCCCATCACATTCTGCATGCCTGACCCAGGACTCACCATTACATTAGTTTCGTTCCCCATCCTTGGGCACTAGAAGCACAGCCTCACTTGCATGTGAAGTGATCTCACTCAGGGGCTCCCACATTCCCCTAAATCTGTAATCCCACCTCTTCTCGACTAACAGGTCAGAGCTTCAGCTCCCCACGAGGTTATCAGGCTGCTCACCCCAGCGCCACAGGGCTCTAAGCTGCTGGTTCCCTTGATCGTACCTCCTCCTCTTCTGTCCCATGGACACAGGACTTCTCTTTGAAGGACCTGGGTTCTTTATATCTGCTTTGCCCATATTTATCCTAGAAATATGTAGAGATAAGGGCCATTTTCACTATGTCACTTTGTCTCTTCCCTGCTCTTGTTTCCCCACCCTCAGACCCCTCTCCTAATTATTACCAACATGTTCTATCATCTGGGTCTCAGGTGAGCCCCTGGGAACCATTCCAGGCATGTAGATGTCTGGCTCTCACAGTCTTCATATCAGGGTCCTGCTACACATCCCCAACAGTAGGAAGTCCTTCCTTAGACCTCTCTGAAAGCTGCCTGATGCCACTTGGGCTCTTGGAAAGTCTGCCCTGTCTCACCGGAGCCAGCAAACAGTAGGTCAGCGTCCTTCACATAGAAAAGAACAGCACATTGCCAACCGTCTTTAATTACACTTGCTCCCCACGCAAGATTGATCTCTAGTCACTTCCCGACTGAAATTGTTAGAATTAGTAATTCTTCATGTTCTCCACTCTCCAGCCAAAAATGACAAACTCTCACCTCTTATTTCTCCCTTTTCTTTCTTTCCTTTTCTTTCTTTTTTTTTTAACTGTCCAGGCTTGCTATAAATGGCCAGCAGAAGTTCCTCAGCTCAGTCCTTTCTTTCTTTCTTTCTTTCTTTCTTTTTTTTTAACTGTCCAGGCTTGTTATAAATGGCCAGCAGAAGTTCCTCAGCTCAGTCTGTGACTGTGGGTGGGCTCAGGTCCTCAGTCCTGAGATAATACTTGATGACTGCTATTGTCGGCACTTAAATATTAAAAAACTGGGAAACTGCTTCATCCGAATCACTGGGAGGACTTGCTAAAGCACAGATTGCTGTTTTGATTCAGTAGGGCTGGGATGTCCTCCCCTCCCCACCCCCTCAGAATTTGCTCTCAATTGATGCTGATGCTAGTCATCTGGGGACGTCACTGTGAGAACGACTCAGTGAATGTAGTGATGCCAGGGAAGACTGCTCTGAGGACATTCGAGTTAGGTTTAGGGATGCTCTGTTTACTTAATGCTTCTCTTCTTTCCCTTCCCCTCCCCATCAGTCCCCACCCCCAGCAGCTTTATCTTTTTAAAAAAATTTTTAATTAAGTTTATTGGGGTAACATTGGTTAATACAATTAACCAATTATCATTTGACATCTGTATATTCTATTGTGTGTTTACCACCCAAAGTCCAGGGATCAAATATAGGGTTTAGAGGGAGGGTGAAGTGGGTAAAGGGGATCAAATATATGGTAGCTGAAGGACTTTTTAATGCCGTTCCCCTTGGTTCTGTTTCATATTCGTTTGCATCATTGCCTGAGCATGCTCTACCCTAGAAGGGATGGAGGATGTCATTGGGAGGTGGCGGCGGGCAGGGGGAGAGAAGTCAATCTAAGAGTAATGACACCCTGGAGAGTCGACCATAGGTTGTCCTCCATCGGAATGAAGGTGTTCACCAGGACCCAGACCTGGGGGAGACGCTAAGTGTCCGGAATTCTCTCTTCCCTGGGCTGCAGGAGGTGGACATTTACACGGTGAAGACGGAAGAGCTGTCGTTCACATCTGCCTTCTGCCTGCAGATCCAGCGCAATGACTACATCCACGCCCTGGTCACCTATTTTAATATCGAATTTACCAAGTGCCACAAGAAAATGGGGTTTTCCACAGGTGAGGCTTTTGCTGGCATTCCAAATCCTCTTCTCCCCTGTTGCTGAGGCTATGTGGGAAGTGACACAGGGCTGGCCTCGACGACGTTGGGGAAGGACCTGGGCGCTAGTGAGGGACCCTTACTCTACATCTCTTAAGCCTTCTCTAGCTGCAGAGTAATCGCACGTCTCCATGCTTTTGGTTGCTCAAGGAGAAGGTAAATAAAACTGGCTGGCATGGTCAGAGCTGAGAGAGGCAAAAGTATGGGCCCCTTTTCAAATGTACATTTGCTCATTTAGCATTTCCTGAGCATATTTTGTGTGAGAGGGGAAGGAAAAGAGTAGAATTAAATTTCTCTCTCTCCACTGCCATGCTTTACTACAGGATTCAGGGCATCACTCAGTAGACTTCAAACAGTGCCTCTATGTCTCCAACTTTCCTCCCTGCTCCCATCCCAATCCATCCTCATTAAGTCCCTGACAACGTCACCCAAACACCAGCCATGCTCTCCCTCCTAGCCCTTCTTCAGAGGTGCCTCATTGCCTGTAGCAGAGAAGCCCAATTGTCTTAGCCTGGTAAGTGCGGGGTTCTGTGACCTGGCCCTAGCCCACTTTTCCAACTTCATTTCTCATTACTTCTCCTTTGCGTTGCCTTCCGCCCCATCTTGTTGCTGCCACTGCACACATAGCCTGTTCACACTGAGCGGTTTGCAGTTTCCTGAACTCAGTGAGACTTCTTAAGTCTCTGGGCATCGCCTCTGCACATGCCTTGTTCATCTTGGTGTGCCATGGGAGAAAGGGGGTCTTTTGTCAGAAGCTCTTGTTGTTTCCTTTCCTCTTGTATTAGTTTCTTAGGGTGACCATAACAAATGACCGCAGACTGGGTGGCTTAAACAACAGAAATTTATTTCTCACAGTTCTGGAGGTTAGAAGTCCAAGTTCAAGATGAAGGCAGAGTTGATTTCTCCTGAGTCCTCTCTACCTGGTTTGCCTATGGCTGCCTTCTCCCTGTGTCCTTACATGGCCTTTCCCCTTTGTGCACATATCCCTGGTGTCTCTCTGTGCGTCCTCATCTCCTTCTGAAAGGACACCAGCCAGATTGGATGAGGGCCCACCCTAAGGGCCTCATTTTAACTTAATCACCTCTTTAAAGGCCTACCCCTAAATACATTCACATTCTGAGGTACTGGGGGTTAGAGCTTCAATACATGAATTTTGGGGAGACATAATTTAGCCCATAACACCTCCCTCACCCCACCCCCACCTCCTCACCTGGTTAACTCTAGCATGGGTCTCACCTCTCAGATCAGGTATTACTGGATCCCCTCCTTCCCTCTTGGGTCAAGCTTAGGTATCCTTGGGGCTCCCTAACATCCTGTGCTTACATCTGTCATGGTGATGTTTAAAGTGATGCATATGCACAATAGTAAAAAGAAATCAAAGGATATAAAAAGTCAAGGAAAAAATCCTCTCCCCATCATCCCACTTTCATGCCTCGGAGGCATATACATTGTTAACAATTTCTTTTGTATCCTTCCAAAAAATTTCAGTGGTGCACAAGCACATATATATCTATATATACCTTTTTTTTTTAACCTTTTTATTTGAAATAGTTATAGACTCACAGGAAGTTGCAAAAATAGTACATGGAGTTCTGTGAACCCTATGCCCAGCTCCCCTCATTGGTGGCATCTTACATAACTGGAACAATATCAAAACTACAGCATTTAAAAAAAATACAGGTTGGCTCATACTAGACACAATCCTCTCTGCCACCTTTTCTTTATTTAACAATGTGTCTTGGAGATACTTCCATAGCCTCACAGTAATATCTACTTTCATTTTTAAAGGACTACATAGGATTTCCATGAAGAATATGCCATCATTTATTCAACATTTCCACCCAGTTTTTTGCACCCTTGGTCTTCCTGCAAGCCTGGATCATATCTTATTAATCTCTGCACTCTCGGCTTCTATGGCAGTGCTTGGCTTCTAGCAGGTCCTAAACAGATCTCTGTTAAATTAGTGTATGAAGTTATGACTTCTGCCCTTAGGGTTGTACTCAGATTGACCATTCATGTGGAGTCTCCCTGAAAACTGGAAGCGTGTTGTTGAGGGTGGAGGAAGTGTGCATAGAGTGGGAATAGGTGGGTTCTACGAGAATTCAGGGATGTGATTATTCACTTCCTGAAACCATGACCCTCTTTTATCTGTTGATGGAGGGGGCAAGAGACATATCTAATCTGTCATAGAATGTTTTTTTTTTCCCCCAGAACCAGTGTCTCTTGAACACCAATACCAGAGTTTTCTAGTCTCCATCAGCCAGGCCAGTGCTGGTGCCTTCCTGCCAAGGGAAAAACCAGAGATGCCTAATCTGGGTCATTACAGCTGCCGCTCCCCACCTCTCTTACAGGGGCACCTGTGAGCTCATCTTCTTGGTGGGCAGGAACAGCCAGGAGTGGGCAAGGGAGATTTTATCTGGACCCTAAAAGATGGGGAAAACTCAGCTTCGTGATGGTGAAGAGTAAGGTCATTGAGAGGGCCAAGGAGGATCCTATTTGAGACCAGGGCTGTGACTAGAGGCCAGGAGTGAAGCCGCAGTGGCTGGCTCTGCCTCTACCCCTCCAGGATGATGTCTTCCACAGGGTCTGCCCTGCCGCAGGTGATGGGAAAGTCATTGGGCAAGAGTACTCTGGAAGAAGTTCTGGCCTTTGAAAGTCTGAGCTCCAGCCCTATAGCTCTCAGCTGGGGTTTCTTTTTTCCTAAAATGATCTATTTCCAGCCCTTGAGGTCAAGCAGGCAACCTGGTAGACCTATCCATAGATGGCTCTCTGGCTCTGTGGTGGCAGGGACTACATTCCTGATGCCCCCATTGGTAGGAGGCTTGGTTAAATTCAAATTCAACATCAAAGAAATCAGACCTGGGCTGCCTGGGAGATGGTGAGGATTTGAAGAGTTAAGTTCCAGCCATTGGCTCCTTTCCTTCCTGTTCCCTGGTCACACCCTGCCATAGTCCCACACACGCTCACACAAGAGGAATGATGAAGAGTATGTTTTATAAGCTCAAACTAGATCAAGGTCTGAGCCTACTCCTCTGTCTTTTTGCAGTTAATGGCATTATACTCCTTCCCCTCTGCACAGAATCCCAGTATCTCAGGTTCTACAAGGACATTCAGAGTTTCTACAGTCCTCTTTTTTCCATGCCTTGGTACAGAAGTTCTTAAAGTGTGGTCCATGGACCAGCATGGAAACTTGTTAGAAATGCAAAGTCTCGAGCCCCACCCCAGACCTGCTGAGTCAGAAATTTTGAGGTGGGGCCCAGAGAACTGTGTCTTAATAAGTCCTCCAGGCGATTGTGATGTACAATCAAGGTCAAGAACCACTGCCCTTCTGCAAGATTACCTGAACAAGATGGTTGAGAATTTGACCAATGTCGACATCCTCTGGAAAGGCAATTCCAGCTCCTCATTATGGTGTGCCTTCTGGCCTCACCAAGACTTTGTGCCTTCTGGCTGACACAGACCCCTCTTGTTGCAGCATTTCCATATACATAGCGAAATTAAATTGTTTAGCAGCTTTCTCAGCCACCCTGAGATGTCAGCATGGGGTTTTGTTTCCAGCACGAGCGGATGTCCTTACCAGTTATTATGGATTTGGCAGCAGGCTCTATGCAAACCCTCTACACTCTGACCACCAAGTAAAGAGTATTTGCTTTTTGTTTTTAAGGACCCCAGATGCACAGAATTAGATGAATCTTAATTCTTGGTTAATGGCATACTATTAACATTGAGTCATACAAGGTTCACTTTTCATTTATTTATTTATTTATATAATGAATATCTGTGAATTCACCATCTCAGTAACCAGAACGTAAATAAATACTAACTAGAATGCAAATAGTAACTAGAAATAAGATTATTATTATTATTGGAAGTAAATATATTAGTTAAGAAATAAATTATTAGAATGTAAATATTAACCAGAGACATTATAAATAAATGATTATAATAATAAATTTAAGTAAATTAATTCATAGTCACATAATAAATCTGTGTGAACTCACCACCTAACTCAATACCTTAAATGTTATCAATACCTTTCATTTACCTGGATGCTCTGCTTCTACCCCATCCCCACTCCCCTTATCACCTCTAGATGAACATTATCCTGAATTTTGTGTTCCTTATCCCTTTGCTATTTTTGAAAAGTTTTATCACATGTATGTGCAAGCCTAAACAACATACTGCTTGGTCTCAGCTATTTTTGAACTTCGTGCAAAAGTAGCCTGCTTATGTGGCCCCTCCCCATCACCCTCAACCATGTTTCATCTCAGCCCAGCCCTGGGAGGCCTACTTGAGAGTATATTGAATATTGCACAGCTTGAAAATGATCCTTGTTAATGGCCTGGCATCTCCTCTCTGCAGCTCCAGGCAGAAGCCATAATGGGCATAGATGCCTAGAGTTCCAGGCTGTGCCAGCCACTGGGCCCAGCTGCCCTCACCCCTTGGGCACATTCTAGTTGGGTGGGGGGAGGAATGGGAACTGGGGCCCTAGGCTGCTATGTGATAGGTAGAAGGGCAGTAGGCTGAGTATAAGCAGTTCTAGACTTATGTCCCCTTCCCTTTGTACAGATTCCTGGTTTTTCCAGGAATCAGCAAGGTAGGGTGATCAGATGCTGGAGATGACTTTGAACAAGTTACTCTCTGGGCCCTGGGCTTTTTATATGTGAAATGACACCATTGGACCTAGATTACCTGGCAGTCCTTTCCAGCTTTACCATCCTGTGACATAATTTACTCAGGTCAAAGAAACTTCTTGGTGCATAGTCTTAAATTCTCCAAAAAGCTTGTGAAACCCCTAGGGAATATAATTATAAATTTACAGCTAGGAAAAGTATTAGGTTCCACTTAGCCATTGGGAAGTGAAACAGAAAGCAGAATTCCATTCTCTTTCCAAAAGCGCCAGAAAAAAATCTTTCCATGAGAGGCTCCTGCCATTTGTTCCCACAGACTGCTGTGCTCTGCACCCCCATCCTTAGTCACAACTTACAACAAACTTTATCCTTTGTCTTCTTACTTAAGCAGCAGGATCTGAGGGGAGGCAAGGCTGTATTGATTGCTATTCTCCAAATTTAAGACCATATCTGTTGAATGAATGAATAAATGAAGGCATATGCACTTGGAATGCTGCAGGCAGTACTGCTCAGGCTCACTTCAAAATATAAAACACAACTTGTCCAGAAGAATCTAGAACCCAGAGAGACCGTGAGGGGAGGGGCTTAAGGGAGGGAGAAAAGGGGTCAGGATAGTAAGAGTATGCAGGTATTTTCATAATAGAGAAAGCTGAAAGCAGTGACACAATCATGAAGATTGCATTTGGGGCAGGGCTGGAGAGGGAAAGACTTGTTCATTGATGAGAACTCTAGATGTCGTCCACAGCCCCGTGTGCTTGTCCTTGTGCATAGCAACTTTCTGGATGCTTCCCTAGGACGTTCTAGACTGCTGGAGTGAGGCAGCGCACCTTTTCAGGCTGGAGTTATAGTTTATGAATGAATAAAATGATATACCACCGTCCACAACGATGAAATAACCACCTAATATGATGGCTTAGGAACACCCTAACATGGACCTAATATCTTATAGGTAGGGTGATCATATAATTCACCTTTCAATTAAGGACACTGTCGAGAGGGGGAGAGCTATTCATAATTATGCCAGGAAAACAAAAGTAAACTGTAACTTTCCCAGCACAACAGGAGGCTTGGTCACCCTTAGTGTACCCTTTTCCCCTTCTCACAGTGCCCCCCATCCTGCAGATGTAGAAAATGAGTCCGAGGGTCACAGTGTAAATATGTGGCAAAGTGGAGACTAGAAACTGGGCCTATTGTTGCCTAATTGAATGTCCTTTACACTGATCCCCACACAAGAGATGTTATTAGAAGTGAATGATTCAGTTTGCGCAGTGATTTCAGCCATGGCTGTGTGTCTATATAACCTGGGGGAAGATTTTTAAGTCTTGGAAAACTTTTACCCTTCTCATCCCTCCCCCAAAATACTGAATTCAAATCTCTAGGAGTAAAGTGAAAACATCCAAATTTTAATAAGTTTCTCCTGGATGCCTTGTTGGAGGATTAAGATTGAGAAGATTGCTTTAGATAATTAGTCCATGGCTAATGGACTCATCATAGAAATGAGATGTTTGGGCAAATTCTTACTTTTTGATGTTGATGTGGTAGTGGAGGAGAGAGAAATTACTTTCCTCCAATCTAAGGCTGGCATGTTTTTGAGGGCTACCATCAGAGGCAGACTACTGGGTTTGGTGAATCTAAGCCAGTGAAATTTCTGGGATTCTCACAAGGCATCTGATTAGGAGACAGAAGGAAACTGCTTGAATCCCCTTGAAGGTCTTTAAGAACAGAAGAGACACCTGTCTGAGCTGGTGTAGGTGGAAGTGGGGGCGAGAATGCTGTCAGTCATATACTGCTATTCTTCGCACACACTGGAGACTGTCTTTTGACAGTTTATTTAGATGTAGTTGGCAGGGAAGTTTCTGGGAGCAGGTGGACTTTGTCCTTAGACAGCAGTATGCCTTAGGGACCAGGAAGGCTGGCTGTGTTTGGGGATCCAGGATCTGAGGGGCACAGATTACATGTTCATGATCATTCAAGCCCTTCCAAATGCTCAGGCTGCTCTTCCCCATCCATGACCTTGAGTTTGCATTGATTTCCCACATGCACACACTGAATGCTACTCAAGTCTGTATTCAAACCGCTGACATTTGATCTAGCCAGTTTATTGAAAAAAGGCAAAGAAAGAGACTCTTCAGCTCCATTAAAGTCGATCTTGGGGATTTGAAAGATCTTAGAGGTCACCTGGTCTGATTCAGTGCATGATAAATTCCCAGTCAGTGGACCTCAGGGGCTTATGCGATTGTGAGACAGATCTAATTCTTTCTGGTGAATTAAAACTCTGCCTATTAGTAATTCCCCCTGAATAGTCTTTGTTCTGCCTCTAAAGCCACATATAAGACCACACATGTCTTTCCATGTGACAACTTTTGAAGCATTTGAGAGGCACTTCTCATATACTCCCCAAATCTCCTCATCTTTAGCTCTTGTCCTAAGCAAAGAGGAAATCAGTATTAATGAGTTTTGCATCTCAGTGGAGGAAGGTAAAGGCCTGAAGGGCCAAGAACTTACTATAAGATGGGTCTTTGTATAGGTTCTAAAGCCCCTCAGTGTAACTGAATATCTTTGGATATAATGAAGCATCATGAGAGGTCTACTCTTTGGTTTTTCACCAGATAAATCATTTATTCATCCTTTATTTCTAGTTGATCCAGTTAGGAAGGCACAGCTGACACCCCTTAGCAGGCTTGGGCTAATTTTGGTTCTAGGGCAGAGAAGGAGGCAGGGAAAACTATTTGTAGGGCTGGGCTGTCAGTGGAACTGGGGAAACTGGGTTAGCTGTGGAGTTTGCATAAATGATGTCTTTTAAGGGAAGACAGGATGGCCTACTCTACAAACCTCTCCCCCACACTGTCTGAAAGTCTTTGCTCTGTCGAACTAATGAAAAACTAGCATTCTGAGATTCATTTGTGTTACGGAGTTTAGTTGGTAAGAGGGTATGTATTCATTCCTCTCGATATGAATTTGTATATCAGCTTGTTCCCTTCTGATCTCCAGCCAAGACCCACAGTCTTGAGGGATGGGAATCTGATGGAAGGGCTGTCCCTAGGGCCGAAAGGGGAGTTCTAGTGGGGGTTTGGAGGCAGGCTACAAGGGCTGGACACCTTGTGTGCAGGTCAGACAGTCCCAGAAGAAACCCAGTGACTTGTAGGCAGGTCCCCAGCTTCAGCTCTTTTGGAGATGTCTTCTCTGATACTTTTGTTCCACCTCCCCTGTCCCTCCCCCCTCAGCCCCCGATGCCCCCTACACCCACTGGAAGCAGACTGTCTTCTACTTGGAAGATTACCTCACTGTCCGAAGAGGAGAAGAGCTCTACGGGACCATCTCCATGAAGCCAAATGCCAAAAATGTGGTGAGTGCTGAAGCAGGCTCTGTGTGGGCTGGAGTCAGAGAGGAGAAGGGACCGCAGAGCTGGTCCCAGGACCCACTCGCCCAGGTGCCTAAGTGCCTTGTGCACAATCAGAAAAGTTACCAGGGAGGCAGTGAGAAGCCGGGCTTGGATGTGACTAGACATAACTGAAGGACTCCAAGCTTGGCCCCTGAAAGCCAGGAACTAGACTTTTTCTAGGCACCATCTGGACTCTCAGCTTTGAACACAGCTTCACGGAGGGGCTTTGAGAACGGAGGCTGTTGCCATGGGTTTCATCTCATTTAAGACGAGCTGAGTCAGGAAATAAGAGCTTCTGAGGGTTTAAGCAGAGGAGCAACACAATCGGATTAGCATTAAACTTGAACCACGTCTGGCATAGGGGTCATGAGCCCCCCTCTCTACAGTCTGTTACTCCACCATTCTCACAATGATGGGGACAGAGGCTGTATGGCCTTTATGTAGTCGTGTCTTACAGCGTGATGAAATCTCCAGCCATCCTGCTCCATCCTGTCTGGGATGTGAATCATCCTTTTGTCTAGTGTGTCCACTTCACTTCATCTCATCACGTAGGCATTGTATCATCATCTCACATCATCAAAAAAAGAAGGGTTGGCATAATTCCTCCTGGACTGAGTGGAAATCATATAGTCATGGGAGAAAATCTGGCTGCATTTGAATAGAACATGTTGGAGCAACACTAATAAATTTCAGAGTGGATACAAAAAAGAAAAGTTTCTGGTGGCCTGGAGAAGTTTGATTTACATTCCTTCAGCTGGCCTGGTGGGTTGGAGACCATGTGATTCTTTCTTTCTGAGCTACCCCAGGTATGGGCAAGTACACTAAGAGTCTACAGAATGCTTGGAGGATTATGACACAGAAGACTCAACCACCCCACTCTGTTTTCTCCCAGGATGAAATCAGAGGGAACGTTTTTATATTATAACAGGAAGGATTCAGGTTAGGAATCAAAGAACTTCCTGTGAGGATAATGAGGCACCAGAATAGATTCCTGAGGGTTGTTCGTGGGAACTCCTTAGCCAGCAAACCTTAGGAACACAGTAGACACCCATTCTTCTGCCGGCGGGGAGGGGAGCAATGCCGTGACTTCCTCCCACACTAATGCTGTGACCCTTTGCTCCTTCTTTGCAGCGAGACCTCGATTTCACAGTAGACTTGGATTTTAAGGGACAGCTGTGTGAAATATCTGTATCTAATGACTACAAAATGCGTTAGCACACGTGGGAAGCTGCAGAGAGTGAGCGAGAAAAAACTCTCACCTCAATCTGCAGCACTGTAACAAGGAATACTGTTTGCAGGACTACACGCTCGAAAACCAGTTTTAAACTCTGCCTTGAAGATTGGGGAACTCACTGGGGCTCCCGTGGGCCCTGCCACTGGACAGATGACCTCCAGCTCCTCAGCTCTGCTCTGCGAGCCCTCCACAAAGGCTTTGCAGTCACTGACCAAGAGCGACCTCGAGTGCTGCGGCTGGGCCCGAGGCCAGAAAGTACCCATGTAAACCCATTGTCCTCCTTTACTGTGAATCTCCGGATCTTCCAAGTTTTGCATGCTGCAGGCATCTAGGGCAGATCGCTTCACTAGAACCTGGAGACTAGTATCTTTGATAGCATAAGCCAGAGTTTCTGTCTGTGCGGTGGTGTGTGCGTGCGTGTGCGCATACAGCATATACAGTTGTTTCTTTACCCACAATACTGTATATGCATTGCATATACAACCATTGGGTACACTCATGTGTTCATTCAGGGCGTGTGTGTGTGCGTGTGCGTGTGGGTAGAATATATATTACTCTCAGAGGAGATTCTGTTGCTTTTGAATAGGAATTTGTTTTGTGATTAGCTCTCCCCTTCCTCATCCCTTACCAGATGTTAAGCATCTATGAAATTTTCTCTGTACTAGCTCTGGTCTCCTTTTGACTAGACCGTGGCTCTGAACCCTGAGCATAGTACCACACTCTGTGGGCACTCAATAAATGCACATGAGAGTGAAGCAGTGGGACAGCTGTATTCCTGGGGCTCTGCAGTGGGAGGGCTGGGGACGAAGTTAAAGGCAGTAATGGAACAGAAAATCAAAGGAGCAGCGCCTTGGTAGCTCCCTGCTTCCAGAAGGCAAGCTCTTCAGTAGAAGCAGCTGTAAAGTCAGGACTGGCTCAAGGGCATCTGCCCTGCAGACTCTCAGGGGGTGAGAAGAGGGTCCCAGAGCTGGGGCGGGGGGTTCATGAACAAACCAAGAGTGCTCTTGAATGGGAGGCTGCATGTAACCTGGAGGGAAGCCGAGGTCACGAGCAGGAATCTGGGTTATGCATGCTGTTGGGAGGGCCGGGAGAAAGCAGAAGATGGTGAGTTTGTGGTCCTGAGTCACTGGGGAGAGACTGGGGCAGGGTCCAAGGGCAAGGCCAGAGGAGGGACGTTCCCCTAGGGTGCTGAGAGTTTGCAGCACCACATGGATGGTCTCATTCTTCACCCAGGGCCAATATATGGCCTGGCCTGTCACCCTTTGCATCAGCAGCAGCCCACACACAGAGCCCAGGTGAAAGACACTTGGTCCTCGAGGTGGCACCCCAGTTTCCCATCACAGCTCCTTTCCCCAGTATGGCTGGCAAATCTCCAGTCCCCCCAACTTCTTCAGCTCTGCCACCTCTAAGATTTTGAACTCTAGTCTCATCATGGAGAGGCAGAACCAGAAGAGAGACTTCTGTGGCTGGGAATGGTCACTTGAGGAAAAGATAGAGACCTCACCTGTGGACAGGGACCCAGGTCTAGCTGACCTGAAGATTCAATTGCCAGGTAGCATGAGGGCCTGCCTCTTTGGTGTGGGGGAGGAACGAGGCCAGGTACCTGGGCCATGGCGGTCTACCTGGCTATTCCGTCAATGTACGGAGGACCCTGGGCAAATCATGCTGTATTCCTGAGCCTCAGCCTCTTCACCACGGAAACAGGGAGCAGGACCAAGTGAGTGTTCCACACTGTGACCTGGGGGGCCTTAGCCTTGTGGGAGGTGCCAGGGACAGAGTGGACAGAGCTGTGGGTCTCCACTCCCCAGATTCAAAAGGAACAACATTTCCTTTCTGTTTTTATTTTCTTTGGGAAAAGAATTCACTGCCAAAAATAAAAATAAAATAAAGAAATGAAAAGAAACCAAGACAAAAACCAAACACCTTTGAAAACAACTTATGTTACAGACCCTGAAGTCCTCTTAGCCCTAATACACTGGGGTCAGTGCTATCTTGGACCCTCCCCCCACAACTCCCCCAACCCCACACCTGGTGCCATTTTACCTAAAGCACTTTCTGCAGCTCCAAAGCAGCCTTCGGGGCTTAGCTAGGCTCCTACCACTTGGCACAGGACCACATGTTCACTTGCCTGCATCTTTATGTTCTCTCCGGCCCCCATTAGCTCTAAAATATTCTCTCTAGAACCGTTATCATTCAGAAATGGGGAAAGGCTCCGTAGGCAGACAGGGGGTCTTTGTCTGAATTTTAAAAGGGGCCTTGTCAAGGAGCCTGTAGATTTGCGGATGCTCTGCTTAGCAGGCAGAGTGGATTCCACTTGCCCTTGGCCTGGGGTTTTGGGGTGGTATGCAAACTTCACAACAGTACTCAGGCCCTGAGAGAAGTGGCTGGGCCCCTTGGAGCTCTTGTTTTCCATGAGAGACCTTTAGCCTCAGTCCAAGTGTGGTAACAGAATCTCTGTAGGATGGAAATACAGCGTCCTTTGTCAGACCTGGTAAAGTGTTTTGTTTTGGTTTGATTTTGGTCATTCTTTAGCTTCGGAGACAGGCCATCTCATCTCATCTCATCATCTCCCCTGGGAGAGACATTCCAGGGGCTGGGAAGGCAGAGAGGTCATTTAGAGGAAGTGATGGAGCTGACAGAGTCCAGGACACGTGGATGCAGAGGAGGCTTTGGCTTCCCTGGGGATGGCAGTGCCCTTGAAGATAATAACTGACTTCGGTGGCAATGGCCCCGCCCTTTCATAATTCTCTGGCGTCTGTTTACTTATTGGCTTCCCCAAAGCCCTGGGAGAAGGCGTGGAGCTGAGACAGATCTGGGCAGCGAACACAAGTCTTGCTCAACGTGCCCTCTGCTGCCTGTGCTGCTTCCTCTGAACCTGTGGCCTGGGAGGCCTCTCTTTGTGCCTAGAGAATAATACAGTGAAAACCATCTAATGTTTTTTGTCCACATGTATTAGACAAGAAAAATAGAGAAACTTAGGAGGAGACCTCAGCAACTGCTGTGTTAGAAGAGGGAAGGGATTAAGAAAGGACATGGGGGTGAGGCCTCCAGAGGGCAGTCTAGGGGAACTCATTAGTGGGTTTTCACTGTGGTGAAAGTCAGAGATAGTGTTCCTGGAGGAAGACCCTTTTAAAATTCAGCTCTGGATTCTGTCCCTTCTCAGGCAGTGGGCCCATTCTACTTTGTGGAGAATTCCATCCATGGATAGTGGGGCAAAATCCTACGTTGCCAGGAGCCAGCTGGGATGATAGTCCCCCAGGAGCTCTGTGTTTGGGGCCTGCTGGCATCCATGGCACCCCTGGAGGATGGGAGGCTGGCAGAGCAAAGGCCCAGCAGTCTTTTGGACCTCCACAGCCTTCAAAGGAGAAGAGGATCACCCTGGTGCTGCCCTCGCCCCGGGTCTTCGGTCCCTGCCGGGCCATCCTCTCTCTCTGCTCCTGGCTATAGGAGTGAAGCCCGCGAGGCGGGAAGGAGTGGTTCCGCAGTGGCCCCTCCCTCCTGCCCCTGGGAATGCTCCGTGGGACCTGTAATTTCTCTCTGATTTGGTGGAAAATAAGCAATATCTGCTTTGAGCATGTTCTGAATAGAAGTTGATATATGAGATGAGGTTTCAGCATGACAATAGAGATGCTATAAAAATGACTTCATTTATGAAACCTCTTTTTTCCCCAACTCTGCCTTTTTTTTTTTTTTTTTTGAGACTGTACAAAACCCATTAGTGACTTTTTCTTTTTCTTCTGTCACTCTTCTTCCTCTCTGGGAGAATGGCTCCCTTCCATTCCCAACCCCCCTTCTCCTCAGATCTGCAGTTGTGGTGCCTCCTCTGTGGTCTTATTTGGGTTGTTTGTACCTGGGTCACTCTGGGCTTGCTCTGAGGTCTACTGCAGGCATGGTCTCTCTTCCCCACTAGACCGCAAGCTCCAAAAGCAGGGCTTCCCTCTTTCTGCCTGTGTTTTCCCCTGAACAGAATGGAAATGCAGATGGGAGATCACAGGGGCACAGCTGACCCGCTCGACTTCTGTGAAACATGTTCCAGGAGTGAGTCTAGGACCACCAGGCTCCTGGCCCCAGTCTGTCTGTGTCCCTCAGGAGATGCCAACATTTTCTTTACTCTTGCAAAAGCCACTCCATGAAGGCCATCTCCCCTTCACTAGGCAATACCTCGTCTCCTTCTCTGTAACCTTCCTCTCCTCCTCTAGGCTGAGCCTGGCTCCAGATCTCAGTAACAGGATGATTTAAGCCAGAGATCTCAGCCCATCTCTGTGCCCTGGGATGGTCACCTGGTCAAGGAGTTTGTGCCTCACCTGTTGCTAGTTCCAATCATTGGGTATCTTCCTTGCCTTGATCTCTTGTCTTTAAGTTCTAAGTCCCATGTAGTATGCGAGCTTTTTCTTGCACCCCACCCCTTCCCACCCTCTGTCCTACTACACAGAGGGTCCCCAGCATGGCTTCTGGAGCTCTCTTTCTAAAGACAGATTTTTCTGGATCCCTGCTACCTGCCTAGAGTCTCAAATGGCACCTCCCTGCACACCTAGTCTGAGTGCTATCCCACCTGTAAGGTCCCCTAACTAGCTTTAGATCCTCAGGCTGTCGTGTGTTGTGTCCAAGCCCTGGGCCTGTGGTCTTGTGACTGCCAGGATAAGCCTGACTTCCTGAGGATGGGTCATCTCCTCACACCTGTTTGACCACAGTCAATGTACCTGGTTCTACATCTTGAACCTTCCAGGTTGCCCTGTCCCAATCTGTTGGAAGCAATTGGCCCATATTTAACTAAGGCTCAGTGATCAAACATTTATTGGATAACTAATGGACTCCAGGCTCTGAGCTGGGCATAGCAATACAGCAGAGTCAGCAGGCACTGTCCATACCCTCACTGCACACACTGCCTAGTTGTCAGTCTCTGGGCATGCTAGGCCTGTTCTTTCCCCAATACTGAGAAATTTATTCCCTCAGCCATGTTCCCTACCCACCCCATGCTACCCCATCCCATCCAGTGAGCCATCCACAGTCTTAGCCTAGCTCGGTGAAACATGCTGTGTCAGGGTAGGTGATGAGGCATGTTGCTTCCTTAGCATCTGTCAGTCACTAAGCCTGTGAAAGAGAAGGAGAGTATGCCTGAATTCTCCACTATCTGAGAAATCCACAGGAGGGCCCAGCCTGTCATTTTCAGAGAAGGAGGCCTAGGACCCCTTTTTACTAGCAATAGGTCATTTCTCACAGCAGAAGTGAAAAGCGCCTTTCCCAACCACGAGGCCGTAGCTAACACCTCAGCCTCAAGGGCAGCCAGAGCAAAGTGGGCAGAGAAAAATGCCCAGGAGACTGGCTCACTAGACCAAGACCCCTGCTGTGCCCACCTCTGAAGGCAAGTGGCAATCACTGGATAACTCTGCCACATGACACGAGGTTTGGAGCCAAAGGACCAAGTCAAAAGCCCATCATTACTACTTACTATGTGACTTTGGGTATGTCACTACATATCCGTGAGACTCAAAAGGAGATGACTCAGATGAAATGAAAAAAATATAAAACATCTTTAGAAACTGTAAAGAACGATGAAAATTCCAGTTATAATTGCTATTGTAATAATATTTCTGCCCTGTATTCTAAGTCTTTTATTGAGAAGCACATCTGGATGCCAGTACCTGAGGCCTATGGGCCTCTGAGTGTCATGGAGGACAGCAGGAGCTGCCATCCCAGCCTTGGTCAGCAGCCAGCGAGACACCGAGCCACAGGCTTTGGCCCAGTGTTTG